TTTTTTTTTTTTTTTTTTTTTTTTTTGATAAACCGAATCTCAACTGAATGCAAGTGGTCAGCTTCAGGGTACTAGCTGGACTGGCTCAGGTGGGGTTCGGAGAGAGCTCGCAGAGAATGAGAAAGGAGTCTTCTCTGTGAGTCTCTCCTGGCTAGATCTAATAGCTACATGCAACTCGCTATAACTATAATAGTGTAGTATGTCTCTATACTGAGTATGGCGATCCGTATCTCAACATTTTTACCTGTGGGGTCCAATAGATCCCAGCTGGAACGAAAAAAAAAAAAAAAAAAAACGATATACTGTAAATTGTTGGCTCAAGTGATATACCATTGAAGTAGTCTTCTTTTGGATGGATTAAAACTTAAGCTAATCAAATGATTCTAAATTGAATTAGATAATGAGTATTGATTGATATATGGTTGGTTACCGCTTTGGCAGTTCAGAATTCAAGGTAAGAAATATATCTAATCTCCCTAAGGGGTACATGAAATGAAACGTGAACAAAAAAAAAAGAGCTTTCAATCTTGATTGGGACATATCAATTATCCCTCTTTTTTTTTGGGGGGGGGGGGGGTATCTTTTCGTCTCAAAAAAATTAGAATAAACAAGAACTTTAAGAGGAGCCTCTATCGCAAAACAGATATGTTGTAGGGAAGCTTAAATGGGATACAAGAATTATCAAGTTATCTTTAGAATCAATAAAGACTAGAAGAGGACAAGTACGTCTACTCTGAAAAATCATTGATGAATGGGAACATCTATTAGACATTACTCTTAGATCAGAACACAACCGGTAGTGGGGTTACTTGTAGGAGTAGGCTACACGCTGAAAGGATTTGGAGATTTGGGAGTTTTTAAAGATTCACAAAGCGAAGGAGGGAAACATTTCTTATTTCGAACATCCTGCCAATTGATGGTAGAAAACCAAGGATGGTTCATGATTTGCTGTAAGCTATGTGGTCGGTGAGTCGGGTGTTTGGACATCAACAACCTTAATAGGTTTTGGCAATCTTTTGAAAGATGAGTAGGATAATTGATTTCAACCTCAAGGGTGATGAGACGTATGCAATCTCTCAGACAGTAGCTATCGGGAAGGTGCATATGAATCGGGCATTCACACCCCACGAAGGGTGGATAACCGGTCACGATTTCATAAAGAGCGACGCCGAGAGAGTACCAATCGGCTTCGTAGCCGTAAGGTTTTCCAAGGAACATTTCTGGCGGACGAATGTAGAGAGCTCCGACCGGGGAGTTTGGGAGTTTGTGAGTGAGGAATGTGGCGAGACCGAAATCGGTAAGTTTAATGTGTCCATCGCTAGCAATCATAACGTTATCAAGTTTCAGATCACGGTGAAGGATCGAATTTGAGTGAAGGTAATCAATGGCACAAGCCAGCTCACTGATATAAAATCGTGCATCAGGTTCCCTCAACGGACCTGTGTTAGTAACTTTATCCAAAAGGGTACCACCAGTGACCAACTCGAGGGCGATCCCTTTCACAGGGTGATCGGCTAAAAATCCGTCATAACGAACAATGAAAGGAAAACTCGGGTCGAGAACTTTCAAGACGTTAATCTCGTCCAAAAATTCGGCCATTTCTAAGACATGCGAAACACTCTCGTCCTTCTTGAAAAGTTTCAATGCGCAGTGTCGTTGACTCAACACCTGTTGAGCTTCCCATACGATGCCAAACTTCCCTTCGCCAAGGATTTCTCCGATAGCAAAATCCGATGGTTCAAGAGCTTGGGTGAGTGATTGCATATCTAGAAAAAAGCTGTGATATCGATAATTGAGTAGTAGAGGCGTTTGTTTTTAAAGTTTGAGATTTGGCGTCGGTATTGGGTGATTTGGTAATAGCTTATCAAGTTATAATATTACTAAGGTATAATTGATCGTGAGGGTTGAGGAATGGGCGTGGGTGATGGAATGATTGTAAGTCCTCCTCCTCCTTGCCTTTTTATACACCATCAAACCTGAAACGGCAGTGCATATAACTTAGTAACATTTGGTGTAGGGATTGCGAATTGGGAAAAAGCAATTAATTGACTCATGATAATAAAAAAAAAAAAAAAAATGCACGCATTTCTTCGATGCTGACTTTTACCTGAGTACTGTTGTGCATTCGACATTTCACATTGCCACCGAAGAGACACCATCGATGTTTACACCTAAAAAGCTTTGTTTTCAGTTCTTTCAAGTGAAGAGAATTCTGGTCTAAAAAATCATTCCACCTATAGGCATTGACTGAGTTCACAGGTGCATCAAGATTCTTCCAGAATTGACTAAATAATTTACTTATTGTACTCTTTACAAAACTACTAACCAGACTGGGGAGACCGATGTTCAATTTACGCCCTCATAATAGACATCTCTCGATCGATTATACAGGAATTCATTCATCTTTACTTCCACAACTCATCATCAATACATTTAGGCTATATGACGGTAGTCATCCTGATCTTAAGTTGGCGCTCTCTAAAAGTTAGGAGATCGTAACCGAGCCCAATGCAACCAAAGGTTTTTTGCATTGAAGGACGTCAATGTGGAAATGTCTGAGATAAATTGTTGTGTGTGTGATTCTGAAATCCGTCAGGCTGTAAGACTGTTTTCGGTCAGATGAATAGGGTGATGAAGGAAGTGAAAATGGTATTCAAGCTGGGTTGAGTAGATCAGGAGGTCAAGGCAACGTAACGTAAGGTACATAACAATTACCAAAAAATGGTGAACTTGGTAGTAAAAATCTGAGTGGCTGATTTATCGATGACATGTATGTGTAAGGTGTGATGGAGCGCTTATGTACTTATTCTTCTTACGATGCTCTCGACCGTATTGAAATGTACAGTCATAAGCATGAAAAAACTTTTGGATTTGGTTCAATTAAAAATAAAAATAAACTAAAAGGTGAAAAGATGTTTAAACCTATTTCACAAGTTTGGGTTGAATCAAGTTGAATATGATTTGAGTGAGGCTGCTAGCTGTAGAATACTTGTTTAATAATTTTATTGTACAATATAACACTTTATTTTGAAGGAGTGGAAAATAGATTTAAATCATGAGATTTGTTTTCCATTTCTACAGAATTTAGAATCACAAGCTAGCGGAGAAATCAAGGAAAGAAAATTAAAAAAAAATTAGAATATCTCCATCAAATTTTTTTATTTTTATTTTTTTCTCCCAAAATTAAATGAGTCACTTACTAGGATAAACCCTATTTGCAGGGGGAAAAAAAAAATCAAAAAAAAAAAAAAAACCAGAGGTAAAATCCCTTTGACTCAACCCAGTCCAGCTCTCTCCCATCCCTTTGAGGCCAAGAAACCATGGCTACAGCACTTCCAGATACATCTGGATCCCAGTCTGGCAATGAAGAAATTAATCCAACCAAATTTGAGTGTGAATTCAAGTACAACCTGTTCTATAACACTGGCACCAAGTCAAAACCCAAGTGGAAGTCAGCAAACTCAGCTTCCAACCCATGTTTCACCATTCAACCATCCAAAATGACCCTTGCCAACCTCTGAGACCAGTGTACCACTGTTGTAAATGCAAAGACCAAGAACCTAGGGAACCTGGTATTAAGAATCTACAAGTATGATTAATAATTTTCTTTTCCCTGCATCACCTTTCTTCTCTCTATTTCACTATTAGGCTTTAACACCCTGTCTGTATCAAGGTGACTTGTCGACGAGAGCAGATGAAGAACTTTTTTAGTTCTCTGATTGTTCTCGTTTTTCACCCAGAGCCAGCACATGAGCCTTCCCTTTATGCAAAGTAACTTCCTTTTCTTTTTGCTCAGTGCACCATGCGCTGAAAGGTGTGTACTGTATGCCTGTGTATCACTGCATGGTTCACAATCATACTGATGTTCATGAGCTGACATCATGATGAACATGGAACAGTGACTTGTATTGAATGGACATGAGTAACAAGGGTGGGCTAGAGCCCTTGGGCCACCACCCCCCAGACACTAAGGCACTGGATTTGAGAGGGATTCTGAGGTGATTTCGAACATGACACCGTGTGCTCTCGTCGACAAGTCACCTTCATATGGACAGGGTGTAATGTTATTTCAATTCATGACATATCAGAATACACTAGCTTCATGTGTGTACATGGTAAACTTTCAAACCCTATTCTTCTTTGTTTTTCTCTCTCACTCATTAAAACCTAGTGTACAGATGAACTCTCTTGTACCTGACATAACCAAACCTCTCCGAGATCCTTTTCTCTTTCCTTGTCAATTGCTCTTTCTCTGTAATTGATCAAGGTGAGGATCTTGAGAGTGTTAGGTATAACACTGGAATTGAACTGAATCTTAATCCAACTCCTGTTTTCTGTCACCTGGTCCTCCTCAATTGCAGTGATATTAAGGCTTTGGACATCAAGATGCATTGTTCCATTGGTTGGGTATCAGCCTACCTTTCCAGTAGAAACCTTGAGATGAATATGAAGAGTGGGCTTCAAAGGCCTTGCTCTTTGGTTCTAATAACCAAAAACCAGCCTGTGCCTGGAAGATGGCAAAGCCAGACAAGCCAGCTGTTATAGCTGCATGGGTAAGAATCTTTTATTAATCATTGCACATGGTCTTTGATTATTGATCACCTTTTTTGTTATATTGTTTTCTAGGAAGCTGGTGTGGCAAAGATGATGCAAATGATGCCAAGGCCACTTGTTGATTGTCAGCCCTGAGGACTAACTGGTAGTCCCACAGGCTAGAAAACAATATGATTACATATAGTAACGATATGTAATCCAATA